ATGTGCAATGAGGAGCTCCGCCAGATGATTCATGAGGAGGTGGTTGTTTCCATCTGAGCTGAGATTCCAGGGATGTTCGGGTCTATTAAGACCACACTGATGGAGACCTTTAATGAGCGGTATGCTGCTCTTACGGATGCTATTGTTGTTGCAGCCACTGCGGCTGTCGCTACCGCTAGGACATAGGGGGGTGACTCGTTGCTGTACCGGGAGTTCAACAACACGAAGTTACCAGAGTTTGATGGGACGTAGGACCCGATTGCTGCGATGAGATGGATATCTGACATTGAGGGATGCTTCTACACCTGTTCGTATCCAGATCATCTGAGAGTTCGGTTTGCGTTGAACCAGCTTCGCTTGGGAGCGAAGGACTGGTGGAAGTTTGTGACTGCGCATCTTAGTTCTGCAGAGATTTCAGCGGTAACCTGGGAGAGGTTCACCACCCTATTCAGAGAAGAGTACGTTCCCCTGGTGGAAAGGGAACGGTTTGGCTCAGGATTTCTTGACCCTCAAGCACGGTACCGAGTCAATTACTGTGATTACCAGGAAGTTCCATGAGAGCACGATGTTCTGCCCTGAGCACGTGTCGACCGAGCAGGCACGCATGAGCCGATATCTGAGTGTTCTGAGGAGAGACATTCATGACTTCGTGACAAACTCATCATACTAGAAATTTGCTGAGCTCCAGGAAAATGCCCGGAAGAGGGAGAAAGAGTTGGATACTCAGGCCAGGGAGGAGGCCAAGTCTCAGAGCAGGGATCGCCGACCGGCACAATCTCAGCCGGCGGCCAAGTGGGGAAAGCCCGCCGATTCGAGATCTGGGGGCCAGAAGGGCCGCACTTGCGGGAACTGCGGCAAGGGTCATGATGGGGTTTGTAGATCTGGTGCTTGCTACAAGTGTGGCAAGGAGGGGCATATCGTCAAGGATTTCTCCAAGGGGTTTATGGTTTGCTTTCATTGCAACCAAACCGGACATCGGAAGGTCGAGTGTCCGCAATTGAGGGGGATAGCACAGGGGCTGCCGCAGGGATCTGCCCCTGCTGCTACGCGGGCTATTGAGGGTCGGTCGGTGAAGATCGAGGTGCCGAAGGCGCGAGGGAGAGCGTTCCAGCTGGCAGCGGAGAAGGTCCGTGCAGCACCTGACGTCGTGGCTGGTATGTATTCTATTCATATTTATTTATACTATAATGAGATCTTGTGTTTATATTATGTTATGCATAGGTACTTTTCTTGTGAATTATGTACCTACTTTGGTGTTATTTGACTCGGGTGCGAGTCAGTCTTTTGTGTCATTAGCATTCAGTAGGCACATCAGTATCCAGCGAGAAGTGATGAGTCGACCTTTGCGTCTTTCTATAGCTGACAAGCGAGCAGTGTATGCCACAGATGTGATTCGGGGGTATGTACTTGAGATCTTCGATGTTGGATTTATGATAGATCTGGTCCCGATTGCGATGGGGGACGAATGTGTTATCGTGGGCATGGATTGGTTGAGCCGATTTGGGGCAGTAATAGACTGCGAGCAGCAGCTGGTGATGATCCGAGATCCTAGTGGGGGAGTGCTGATAGTTTATGGTGAGGGGACCCGTAGTGGGTCAGCATTCTGTTCGGTTGCTAGGGAAAGGAAGAGTTTGCAGAAGGGCTGCAACGGATTCGTAGCCTATGTGATGGATACACGGGAGGCCTCAGGGAGGCCAAGTTTGTTTGGTGATGTCCCGATAGTGCATGATTTGCCGGACATATTTCTCGACGAGTTGTCGGGTGTGCCTCCCGAGAGGCAGGTGGAGTTTCGAATCGATTTGATTCCCGGGGTTGTGCCTATCGGTAAGGCGCCTTATCGCCTAGCACCACCAGAGATGCATGAGTTATCTTCACAACTGCAGAAGTTGTTGGGGAAGGAGTTTATTCGTCCGAGCAGCTCGCCTTGGGGAGCGCGGATCCTCATCGTTAAGAAGAAGGATGGTTCACACCGGATGTGTATTGATTACCGGGAGTTGAACAAGTTAACG